ACACGTATATATAGTGACTGAGAGACCCTACCCCTTGACTGCCAGCTTGATCGAAGTCTTTGGCCAGTGATCCAAACAGAATGACGTTAATGGTCTGGTTCTGTAATGAGGTGCTCTGCTGGGAGTCTTCTTCTGAAAAATAGATGCAGAACAAGTTTTAAACAAGACAAGAGTCAGCATGGAGAATAAGAAGAGGATCATGAGGTGCTGATCATGTTTGCCAGATTCATATTTGTAACTATGGATGTGTTAACGTTAACTTACAGAGACAGCACAGGACATACAGTCCTACAGTAGGTATGATCTAGATTGAAGACACAGACTGAGGCCTGTATAGGTCTACATACACTACTCTGGGTATTTATTTGAGGAATATTTTGCTCTCTGCCTTTTTACTAAATCTACACAGACGATTAATAGAAACATTGCAGAGTTTTGGCAAATCTTCACTTTGGAAGGCCTTCATAAAAATCTCTGTTTAAAATAAAAATAATCATTATTGCAATAAATACCAATAACTGCCAAAAAAGTGGTTCTGTTCTGTTCTGACCCCAGATAAATAAAAAGCATCCGGAGTATTCTCAATAACATACCAGCAAGTTAATGTAAATCCCTCTCTACAAAAACTTTAAAGACTTCAAAAATAGAAATAGCTGGAAGTTTATAGTGGGAGTCACAACCCAAACAAAGCCCCACATTTTTCCAGGAGGCCAAGCACTGTACTAAAACTGAAAGTGTCTACAACCCAATAATACAAATGAGGAGGACCTGCTCATCCTGCAGCTAAGGGACACAGCCAGGTGTCACAGAGTTTAAAGGAATGAAAGGAGGAATATCTCTGCCACAATAAGAGCATTGGTTCTCTGTAGCTCTTTAATAAGGCAGCTCAGAGATAAGAAAACCACAGACAAGACAACAATGAGACACACCAGCCTCCATCTGCTTCTACAATCCATTCCAGCTTAAAAGCTTAACACACACACACCGTTCTGACACATCCACACACACATAGCACACTTAAACTCTGCAGTAATACAGAGCTTATAGTCTCTTAAGGCTACTAGTTTTAATTTCACTGCACATGTTCTATGTGTTGTTATGATTGATCTGATTGTTTTCAGCAGCAACAGCCAACAAGCTTTGACAAACCCACTGTACATGAGTAAGAGTTTCTATTAAACTATTAAAATGATCAAACTTTAAAAAATACAAAAATAGACATGTCATCCTTCAGATTCATATACCCCTCTCTAGTGTAAGCATTAACCAAAGAAAAGGTTGTAAGGCATTGTTACGCTACACCTAAAATAAGTGTCTAAAATAAACTGTGTTGATTTACTTTCTGAATAGTGACCGAGTCAAAGATAAAAGCTAGACCAATTTTGGTCTATTGTGGAAGGGTAGCACAAGCAGATTGTATTTATTGTACAAGAGAGCACAATAATGATATTATCACATTTTCTGAATGTTTGAAATACTAATGTCAGCTTATTTATTTAGCTTATTTATTTGTGTGTTTTATCTCGTGAGGGACAAATAAGGCTGAAAATGCAAGAAAAGGCTAGTAAATACTAATACCTACTGCACATAGGGTTGTGCATATAGATGATGATGCCATTGAT